TATCAAGCTGCTCAAGGAAGGATTTATACGGCCAGAGATAAACTGCGATGCTAAGAAGTGGACGCGAAATTGTTTGTCTTGTCAAAGAGTCAAAATTCATCGTCACTACAATGCGCCTCTTGGTCGTTTTCCTAAGCCCGACTCAAGATTTGACCACATACATACATATATTGTTGGTTCACTGCTTCCTTAGAGTGAATTAAGTTACTTTTTCACTTGCATTGATAGATTCACTCGTTGGCCAGTAGCAGTTCCGCTGGCAGACTTATCCGCAGAAACAGTTACTAAAGGCCTGGTCGAAAACTGGATAGAGAACTGTGGTTTTCCGTCTATTATCACTACAGAAAGAGGTGCACAGTTCAAAAGCCATCTTTTTCAAAAGCTCACGGAATTATTAGGAATAAAACGAATACGAACGACTTTGTATCACCCGAATTCCACTGGGCAAGTTGGCAGTGGTATTTCCATGAATTCCACAGTATTCCGCAAATCTTATTGTCTGTGATGTACTTGGAATCTACGTGTGTAACCCGGAGTATTGGAAGACTACACAACGATGACTAGAAAAGATGGTGAATTCCATTCAATTATGTGGCAGTGGCATATCCGTCATTTTTGTTCTTTAAGTGAATGTTGGTGTGGTCTTCTTAAATTTTTGTTTGTGTCCTTCATATTTTTTGGTCTTCACTGTTTATTTCCCTGGTGTTTTGGTACTTTCTGTTGTCTCTTATCTGGACTGTTTCACCGGATTTCCTCTTTGTTTTGGTATTCACTTTGGTTCTGTTACATTTTTGGTGTTGGTGCCAGGTCTTAGCTTGATTTTTTAACTCGTATTCTTTCATCACGCGAAATATTCCAACTGAAAAGAGAGGAATTTTTTCTAGTGTAAGTGCCACTCCCTAGGTCCTGGATCCTTTTGCTATTATAATTACTTGTACCGACCATGTTCAGTGGTCATTCATCATGGGTTGAATCTGTGTAGTGTTTTTTTTGTGTAGATTTCAGTAATTAATCATTTTTAACAAAAACTTTTCATACTTAAGTACCTTGTTATCGTTTTCATCAGTTTACCAAATGCCTCATACCTCGGTTGTTTTTAAGGGATAACAGTACTGTGGACCAGTTGTTAATCGTTTTAAGCGTATTGGGGACCATATCATCGATAACTTTCGAATAGACTCATGGAATGCATGGGCTCATATTTCCGTGTCGATACATATTCATCTCTTGGACTGTTTGTGTTCGATTTCAGTTAGAATATTGTCACAAGCTGGTGCGAATTCACAGTTTTTAGGTCTCAGTCAAGGCAACCGTTGTGACTTGCCTGAATAGAAGAAAACTAGCCCTTCAATGTATTGGAAAACGTAGCTATGATGCCCTACATGTTCTTTTGAAAATGGTTCTGCAATACCATGTTATTTCTCAGGCTTATGTAGACATTTGATATCGAATCCTAGTGAGTATTTTTGTCACCTACCAATTTTACAATTCTCTTTTTAAGGTTATGCATTTAGAAAGACTCTGCGAAATATCTGAACTAGGAATATCCGACCAATTAGTCATACTCAAAGTCCTCACAAAGGCATTTTAATCTGTTTACAATAACTTATCAAAGTGAAATGATGTTTGTACGGCTAAATTTTCTGCTGACGTCAACAAACACTTTCTTATTAGCAAATTATTGACAGTTTAATTGTGATCCGGAGATAAATCATTTTATATAACAGAAGATAGATACGATTTTATCAAGCGGTGCGATGTAGATTAAGAATTGAGAAATTGTTTACACTATTTTGAGCTCAAATAGTGAAGTATCATTATGGAATATTTCACTAAGAAAATCTCCCAATTCCTTTACTTTATTAGGAACATCAAACTTCATTTGAAGGTATATATGAATTTACTGGACGCTTCAAGCATAAAACACTCCAGTAAATTTATTTACCAGATCCGAAATATTCTTTATTCGAGTTATACAAAATTTTCGGGCAGAAAGTTGGTGCTAATGCGTTTTGGTCATTTATGTATGATAATGTATCCAAAATTAAATACCTCTGATTTATTTTAGGAAGTCTCACTGATAACATTCACCTTCAATACAGTTCAACACTTAATCCAATTTCTCCATATCTTATCTATACTCAAAATGTAGAGCTAATATTCCTTTTTGTAACATAATTGCCACAATTATGCTTGACTTACATAGATCCTGCATCGACTGACAATCAGTGACCACTATGTACATGGAACTACGTGTGACAGAATTTATGATTCGGATCTCTCACATGACCGGTCCACTTGATAGCATCTATATTTATTTGAATATTTCCGATATTTTGTACACGTTATTTCTTACATCTTCCCTGAGTATCATAATACTGAGATGCGCCAGTTGTATTATAATTATGTCTTGATATTTGTCTTTACTTTTATTATATTATTATTATCCGCTTGGTTTCCGTGTGGAACATAGGGCTTCAACAACACATCTCCACTTTGTTCTATTTGGTGCTATCTTCTTCAGCTGGGTCCACGATTGACCATAATCTCTCATCTCCTACTCACACGATCTACTCCATGTCACAATCGCACCGATGACCCACTCGTCGCTTCCCATTCGGATTCCACCATAGCGATAGCCTGCATTGCGCGCGATGTCATTCGACGGCCTCCTCAATGTATGCCCGATCAATCCCTCTCCATTTTCTCCTACATATTTGTTGAGCAATCGGATCTTGGTTGGTTTGTTCCAAGTTAGAGTTTCCTGTTGATAATTCTTTCTGGCAAGCTGGTAATTTGCTCTTCAGTATGGAGCCAGAGAAGGCAGCTGTTGATAAAAGTCTGTAACTTGTTGGAAATCCTTTACGTGACGCACACGCAGTGCAAGTTTCTGACCCATATTGAAGTATTGATTGTCTTCACATTTGTGTTGGAAATCCGAGTCTTGTTCTTTATGCTGAGGTGGAGTGCAGAAGATTTCCAAACTGCTTTCAGTTTGATGAAGACGTACCTTGGCTTTCCGATTCTGGTTGGCTTTGATATTTTCATCCGTTTCGATTACCTATGATTGAAACCGTGCTTCCTAGATAGGTGAAGGAGGTAACCTCTGTTAATTCTCTCACATTGATGGTTACTGGTGCTGGTTGTTGTTCTTGCGGTTCGTTGGTTAACTTCATCACCTCCATCTTCTTTATGTTCACCTGGAGTCCTGCCTTATCTGCCAGACTCTTCAGCAAGGTTAGTTGGTTTTCATCTGCCTCTAAGTCTTCGAGTTTGTGTGGCGTTAGACATAAATCATCCACACGCGAAGTCCAGATCTTATAGAGTCTTCTTATGGGAGATTTCCTCCTATTTTTATACTGGACTATAAGGCGTTGTTTCACTTTTTTCGATATGTTGGCTGAACCCAAGTTTACAAAGGAGTAAATGGCTGAACTTTCTTTACCAGAAACATTAACTACTCTATTTGACACTTGCAGAGAGAAATTTTATCAGTTCTCTTAGGAATATTTATGTTGGTTCTCAGGTTTTGATAGTAATATTTTTCACCTATTTTTTATTATACTATGTTTTCTGTACCGAAAAAATCTTTGGACTGTATAGTTGTGCTAAATCATTCTTGATGCACTTTTTTACTTATGAAATAACTTGTTATTGTTTAGTGATCCCGGAAACTTAATCATGTTATATGATGTTTTGAGATTGTTGAAATGTAATCGCTGACTTCGTGTGATAGACTATACGAGTAAGGTTCAATTTCTTGGCTGGATTGCATTAAGGTCGTTCCGGTGAATTCTTTCATGCAATGACCCGAAAGTACTAAGTTACTGGTTATTCCACTATGTTTCGCAGTCTAGTTGCCGATTTCAGACGGTTTTCGGGATAAAATGAGATATTCAGTAAATGAGCTTAGATCATAACACATGACGACACTGATAGATGAATACTTTGACCCCGAAGTTCCTATAGTCTTTAATTTAACCGAGCGAACATCTTTTTTCTCTACATTCAAGCTCTTGCAGCTTTCATTTTGAACTTACATAGCTACTCATGTTTAACTCTCGTTCATTAGTTACGGAATGTTAGTAGGACTCTTGTTGTAAAATATGACTTTTAATGTAAAACGAATAATTTTGGTAGCTTTTGTAGTTGAAACGAAATGAAAAGAAATTGAAGTAAAATTTATTGGTTGATGAACAAAGTAGAGCAGAATTAGTCTTGAAGTTACAAGGAACCTTCATGAAATGATGATGGAAGAAACTCCTGGATGTTCGTATCATTCGTGTCATTATCATTCAGGTCGGTGGTACACTATAAAGTTTTGACTTCGCCGAAGGCAATTATTTAATGATGCTGTTATTTTTACTACTGTCTTTTTGATATGTCATCAATTTCTGCGAACTTTCTTGTAGTGAACTTGTTATAATAGTAATTTAGAAAAATCTTCTTTACATCCACTTTAATTAATTCAATTATTTTAACAAAATGAAGTTTGCTTAGTGATATGTTTTACTTACTAATATTTGCATTCTATTACTTTTCCGATTAACTAAGTGGCAGCGTCTCTGACTGCAGCACTGGGTGACCGAAGTCAGATTCTCAGAAGGGATATGAGTTCCTTTAAGACCACAGATACGCTCTGCTGACGATTGGTGACAAGGCTTCTGGCTGATTGTTTCCAACTGTCTAATAACAAGAATTCTTAGTGTATCATAATGGCGAGCCACCTAGCATGTTGGTCACATTTCAAATTTGACTGATAGAATTCAGTTTGCAGCAAACAAACAGCTAGACACATGACACTGGTTACTGGCTAGTATCCGATCAAAGTTTCCGCCTCAGTTTATTTGCAGTTTTGAGTGATCCTTCGCGACAATTCTACGTGATACCTAGAATTTACTTCTGTCTCCCTTTTTGTCTGCGCTTAGTTTGGCTTTTGAGGATAGTTTTTCAAAAACCCAAAAAATCATAAATTTCCAGTTATTGTATATTGAGAAAAGGTGACTACCAGATAGATAACAACAGGTATATGAATAGTTCTGTGAATACAATTGATGTTATGTTGACTAATCAAAGTTAGTCATAAGAAATGCTGCCCTAACAGAATTCATCAACATTAACACGTAACTGAGATGATATTTGTTAAAAAATGATACAAAATACCAGAAACAGAGTTATGCTTATGATGTTCATCAATATGACACTTCTTGTAAGTCTGTTTGATCCATTTTCAAAATATTTTATTTCTAAAAAGCGAATTATAAAATTTTTTACTGTAAATGATAATTTGGTTAATTAAAATAAAGTATGAATCCATTCCACTGAAGTTCGCTGTTGATCTAGTGGACGAAACGCGCGTATAGTTTATATATGAAGCAACTCAGTGGAATAAACTTTTTCTGATATAATCCCAAGGAATCATCACATTCGTATTACTCAGTATAACGGTGATATCTGGTTGTTATTTTTTTTTTTTCAATATTTTCATGAATGTATATTAAACTGGCTTTATGTTCACATTGAGTATCTAGATAGAGTGGCACACACACAAGAACACTCTGCCAACTGACACAACTAAAATTTACCATTAGTTTATCTTGGCTATCAACAAACCTAGAAGCTTAGTTACCTGGCTAACTGAATTTACGGTAGAAATGTGTTTGTTTCATTTAACAGTGGATAATTTAATAAGTTTTAAGATTTGTTCAATCTTTTACAGACACTTTTTTAGGCAACATGGAGAGATTTTCTCATGTTTAGTTTTGAGAATTTTGGTTATGTGGGATAACTATTGGGTTGTAAAATGCTTGCTTCTTCACCAGTTAATGGTAGGGTTCAATCTGTCTTTTAATCGAACATATTTTCTGTTAGGCAGGCTGTTAATAAATGAACTTCTGGGAGAGTGCAACATTTTCCACTAGATGCATTGTGATGCAAAGTGCTCATTATCAACTTGACGCTTTAATATTCAAATAAAAGTTAGAAAATTACGCATCTTGAAGAGGATGTGTTTCATCGAATTTTCCAATAATTTTATTCCACAGAAAATAATTAATATTCCGTCAATTAAATATTTTGATCAAATGAAAGGAAAAAATGTTGCATTTTGTCTAGTCACTTACTGTATACTGATAACTGGTTATCCAACAATGTGAATTCATTGCCGTGCATAGATGGTGTGGCGTGTATTGCACGAATTATTTCATCTTTAAGAAGGTGTAAAAAATTGACAGATTCATTTTGTTTCAACCACTGATGGACACTTGATGCGTTAAACCACAACTCCAGGACTGCATCCGACCAGCTGACATTTTCTAACTTAAATGTGCACTGTTGATAGGCTGAATTCGGAAACTCTTGAATAACTTCTGTAAACAAGTGGTCTACCTATAGGAGAAAGTAGACATGAGAAATATTCTAAAAACTTTGAAAAAACTGTTTTCTTTATTTTGAAGCTGTATAACTTTTCTGCAGGCTTGAAACTGAACCGATTATTCAACGAAGATCACAGTATGCAAATAAATTCAACAAATAAACTACAATTTCAACTGTAAACATATGTAAGCGACACCTGATTCAAGTAATGTTTTTATGGCTACGCACTTGCACATAGCACAGTCACATGAGCAACAGAAGTCACAGTTACATGAAGTGGAGGCAGTGTCTCTCTACACAATCTTAAAGAAGAGGTGTTAACTAATTCTGAAATACAATTTTTCTTCCCTTACAAACTTCACCAAGTCAGTGTGTTTGCGGCTGTAGTAAGTTACATTTAGGGCTAAGTAAGTTTCAAGAACTCAGATTGGTGACAATAAAACAAATATTTGATTTTCCGTTCAAAGTCTCGAATTTCTCACTCAAGTTTGGGTAATAATAATAAAAAGACAGTTGCAGCGAAGAAAATTTTCTTTTCGACGAAGTCATCATCTAGGCTGTACATTCGTGTATTTATATCAAATGGATGGGAAAGTTCCAGAATAATTTCCGGTTAGGGGTCAAATTAATAAAAATTACAATTAGGAATTAGAATGCCATAATAAACAGGGGGATGGGTAAAACTCAAACAAAGTAGCATAATAACTAAGAAGATTGACATTGTGCAATTGGGGTTAGAAATGTAAAAATAACAAAATATACAGGATGTTTGGATAAAAAACTAGTGTGATGAATAATTGTTTATGCAATCAGGGATTAAATATGTAGAAATAGTAAAATGATAAAATAAACAGGAAGTGTGGATATGAAAATATGGTAGTGTAGACAGGGATTAAGAAAACTTAAAATAACATGAATAAACAGGAAGTTTAGATAAGAAAGGCGATGGGATGGTCATTATTAAAAAATTTACCTGTTTATAATGGCCATGGCAGGGATAGGGGTTGGACGTATTTCTTTTGGATACAAAGAGTGGGTTTGAGTTTTTGGATAGCTAACACCTCAGCTATGCCCAAATGTCTTGATTTCACTCCCTTTGATAGGTTTGATTGAATCTTGTATATTACTTTGAAGGACTTTTCGAAAGGCGCTGAATGTCCTGAGTTGACCAGATGTTCTGTCACTGAACTGTATACACGTTTTTGGTCTCCTTTTACTAGCCAGGCTGGGTAGTGTTCACGAGCGCGTTTTTCAAGTCGGCGCATGGTACGATCGATGTACTCAGCTCCACAAGAGCAAGTAAACTGGTATATGCACGTTGAGGGGGCCCAATGCGACAGCTTGTCTTTCGCGTTCTGGTTGAACAGTTTCTTGCAGGAAAACGTCAGTCGTAGGCTTGCGGCGAAGTATGTTTTCCTCAGCGGTTTGGAGAGGCGTTTGCGAAGGATTTCTGCTTCAATATCACCTTTGAATTCTAGATTAAGCAGAAGTATTTTCTTTGGGACGGATTGGACTTGTTCAGAAGTCCTCTTAGGTTTGAGATTCTTGTCTAAGAAACCTGGGTGGGAAACCGTTTTCCATCAGGGTTTTTCGGAGATTACGCAGTTCTTCTTAGATCACTTCCTCGCTGCATATCTTCGGAATCCTCGAGGAAAGAGAGTATATCAGGTTCCTCTTTCTGCTTAGCGGTACGAAGCTTTGAAAGTTGATGAATTGTCCAGTCCATGTAGGCTTTTTGTACATGGACCTTTTCAGAGAGTTGTTGTCATTTCTTGTCAGATGGACGTCCAGGAAGTGGAACATTCCGTTGGATTCGGTCTCAAGTGTAAAGTCGATGTTTGGGTGGGCGTTGTTGAAGATTTGAAGTAAGTTTTCAAGGTTCAGCTTCTCATCACAAATGATGAAAGTATCATCAATGTATCTCCTGTAGAGATGAAGGTCGTCAATAGTTGATGATAAGGGGTTGTTTTCGAGGCTGGGCATAATAATAATTGATTAGTATAATTGATCAATAATAATTTGGTATTATTGAGATAAGACGAACTTTTGTATATGCGAGACACTTTCGCCTTCAAAATTCATATTGCATAGAATTTTTCTGATACATTGTATAACTGGCAGCGCACTTGTTTGAACTTAAACAGCCTTCTGAAATCACAGGCTAAACACGTCATAATTAGGTTAGACTACATGATGAGTAAACACTATGTGTGCTTGCGTTTCACACCATTTTCACATGCACGCAACTGGGTTCTTTGAATGCTTTCGTTTTCGGGAAGACACCTTTTTCACATGAAAATTCAAAATAAAGTGAGTGATGTGTGGCAAAAAACAAACTATAATGGCCTTCCATAATAATTTGTTTATTAGATACATCACACAGTGAAACAGTGTTATCGACTAGATGACGAAGTTTCGAACACAGTTTATTTTTAATAATGATATCTATTAATTTATAAGTGACATGATTATGAGTAATAAATTGCGTTCAAGCGTCATCCAGTAGATAACACTGTTTTACTGCCGGATGTATCTAATTAACAACTTATTTTGGAATTACATACTACCACACTGGCCTTCACGATTCATTCCACTGATGTATTAGAGCAAATGTTTACATAACTTATTCATGTAAATTGCATAAATTTATAGAATTTTATTATGGATGATAGGCTTACGTAAGCACACAGACTGTCACCAAATTTAATCAGTTCCGCGCATAACTCCCACTCTTCCATAAAAGATTGTTCATATAATATGCATGCATTTAAATGAGCATGTACGTCCAGGATAATAATTTCTAAAAAAAAGCATGGCTTTAGGCAATCATCTAATTGGGAAATTATCTTAGCATTCCATCTTTAGTTGAAAAAATTAACTACAAGGTAATGAAATTTTCATAAAATTTATGTCAATAACCCATACAATTAAATGTGAATCAGTAATCTAATGAAATTAGATAAGAAACTGTGAACATTCGGTAATATTCAAGATTTTATGCTGGATGTATGAGTCTGCTTGTTACATTTGGAAATCAAGATATCAATAGTTATGTCTAACCACACCTGATCATTATCTGATACACATAACTGTCCTATTATAAAATCTTGAGCCTCACTTGGAAAGTATCGGAAACTGATTAGTTTTATTGCATACGTATAATCTGTTGCCATTGATGAGTGCTGAGTGTACACATTCCCCCAGAGAATGTCAACATAGCGGTTCTCAAGCGCTGCACAATATAATGTATATACTGATAACAGTTTTATTCCGGAAATGATGTATAAGGACAATATACAATTCTCACCAGAATTTCTTGCCAAACGTTCACATCGAAAGTAAAATATGAACAGTATACTGTATGATACAAAGTCGTTTTGTCTTAAACAAGATTCAATCTTACACAAGACTTCTTTATTTTCTCATTGAAATACAAAGCTGTATGTTGTAAGTCAGTTAGGAATTCGCGTGAATTCATTTTACAGTCCAAAGACATATTTTTAAGATTAAAACAACAAGACCAGCAAAGCTGTGGTGGTTCAAAGATGGAATTTAGAACTAAGTGCATATGTTTGCACTATTGAACACAGACTGGCTAAGGATATACCTCATGCAGACTTCTTATCTCGTTGCTCATTATTTGAAAATTCTCCTAATGACACTGATTATTTGTTAGTCCAGCTGCTACCTGTGGATAGAGTTCGTCTCCTAAATAATACTCGGAAATATTACGGGAGTATTATAAATGCAACAAAAAGGGCTTGTTATATTCAGTGTAAGCGAAGATTTCCCGACTTTTATAAGCGGAGAGAAGAGATTTCAGTCCATCCTGAAGGATTTCTATGTCTAAATGACAGGATCATAACTCTCCTGACATTCAAATCTGCGATTTTGGATGATCTTCATTCTACTTATCTGCGAGTTGATAAGGTGAAATCATTGGCACGCTCAATTTGCTGGTGGCCGGAAATTGATGCTGACATTAGCAAAAGATTAAAGAGCTGTTGCAGCTATTTGCTTAAAATGTCCTATAGAAAGTCATTGAGTAAACCATGGTCTCTGACTCGTGAGATTTAGCAGCGTATTCATGCAGATTACTGTGGTACACTCTAAAATTCATACTATGCCTTAATTATTGTAGATTCTTATTCTAGATGTCCAGAAGTCGTAATTACAGACAATTCTAACGCGAAATTCAGGCTTTGAGGAAGATTTATATCCGTTCTTTTTAGTGTAATTTCTGCAACGGTCTCTAAACTGAGACCAATGAAATTCGAGATGTCTTAGTTAGTGATAATGGTACTCATTTCACTGAGAAGAACTTCAGTGACCGGCTTACACATATAGGTTGTCGTCATCTGTGCACAGTACCACGTCATCCTTAATCTAACGGGTTGGCAGAAAATTTCGTACGAACATTATAGAGTGCCATAACATCAATGAGTCCTAAGAATTTTGACAAGTTAAAGAGATGTGTAGATAACTTCTTACTTCAATATCGCAATGTGCGGAATACAAATACCCATGAAAGTCCTGATGAAGTCTTCAAATCTCCGAACGCATCTGATGTCAGCGATTTCTGATGTACATTATTACAGAGGGAATGACAATAAACCTTCTACTGGATTCATGCTACTATAACTGGGAAATCGGATGGTGAAGACGTCTGACGTCGAAGATCATTCAGTTCACAACAGACACGTAGATCAAGTGAAAATAATAGCAGAGAATCAGTTAGAAGGTCGGAGAGACTTGCAAGCAAACCAACACCTCATTATTAATATGCAAGGATACATTCAACGTGTGACGAATGTGGTGATTGACAATTTCTATTACTGTATTGTTTGAATGCTTACTGTTGTTTGTTAGTATTTATTACATGGATAAAAATTAATTCTTCCAAATACAAATCCCTAAATTCCGCCCTCTCTGAGTGCTATTGTTTGGTTTCCTGTGATTCGATCATTGCGAAACACTCTATCTATTTCTTCTATCTTATTTCTTTACGTTCCCAGTGGGACATAAGGCTTAAAGCTAGAGCTTTGAAGTTTCGGTAGTAGTGGTGTTTATTTTTACGGGATGAAGCTGCTAGTCTCATGTCCAGATTCATCACTGGTGTAGTGAGGTAAAGGAGTGGGTCGGCTGAGGATCGAACCCCGAACCACCTGCGTGGTCGGCTAGCATTCTACCTATGTGTCACCGACGCACATTGTGAAATAACCTTATGAATAACTATAACAAAAACAACAGATGTATTATGTTGGATGGAAATACAGCTACTCCAAAGGTTCAATCCAAGAAGAATTTAATCGAACTTATGAAAATAAAGATGTACCCAAAGGCTGCCGAAACACTGCGATGTAAAAATAAGAGTTCTGTAGTTATAACTGTTGGCTGAAACTTCATAGAGAGTGTAACGGTTACTGTTCTATATAGAGTTGCAATTCATTTAAAGTACTTATTCGCATATTGTTTTCTTTTGTACTATTAGAAATCTTTACAATTCGGCATTTTACATAGAAGGAGACAAAAACTTGGTCCACCGAAGTTATGAATTTCTATTTGTGACTTAATTTTCTCACATTATAAGCATCTAAAAACATTTCGGAAATTTGTTGAAATAAACAGATAGAAATGGCTTCAACTTTCCATATATGCAAGGTTTGTTCAAATGATAAAACCTAAGGGAATCCCAGGTGTCCCGAACATTCGTAAAGTTTTCTATTAAATCTTCTTAATAAAGATATAATCTGAGGAAAACAAACCCTTGATTACTTATTTACAGGAGAATTTCTTAACAGAGGAACTTTAGTTAGAAAATTATTATAAATTACGGTGCTACCTGATTTCTAATCAAAATCTACCAAATCATCACAGACTGAGTACTGGATTGCACTTCCGTTCACATTGTATGGAGTATTTTTGAAAAAAGCAAAGATCAGATTGATTTACCTGTTAAATTCATAACTAAATAAAAAGTAAAAATGCGAAACGAAAATCGATTTTTAAGGGATTTTGTGGACGTCATTAAATTTTCACCAAGACTTGACTGATATTTAAAATCTTCAATTATATAGCTAACAGCCATATATAAACTTCAGCTTATGTCACTGGCAAGCATTGCTCATCTAGTTTAAAAAACAGTATTATACAGGTACATCTTAAAATTTAATCTCGATTCATCTGTTGTGATCGCACACACACACACATGTTGTTCTAACAGTTTAATCGGAATTAAGCATTATTAACAGTGTATTTCATGTGAACAATAGGTTGTGTTGATCGTTAACTATTAAAAATTCTCATTATTGTAGTCCTTTTCGTTGTGACAATACTGACACCCAAAAAGTTTCACAAAGTTCATTGCTTTCAAGCAGTAAGCTTGAAATAAAGTGTTCAGTTTATATTCAGCAGTTGAAGTTCTGTCATTGTTTAGATTTGGGCCCACTAAATATGTTTATGTTTTATGTATTGCATGGCAATTAAGTTTAAAGCCTAAGTCTCTCATTATGCCTAAAAAAGTTGAGAAATGCCCAGTGTATTAAATGTAATACTTAAAATAAAGTCATCAATATTACTAAGTTAAATAACTTTTTCTCTACACAACTAAAAATGGTACCTAGCAATAAGGAAAGAATAATTTTAGTGAATTTTCAGATTTACTAGATCTCTTCGGTTTCATGTTTTCCGAGTTTTCAGTTGTATTCTGCATCATACTATCCTCTTCAGTGATTTCTTCTTTACATTTAGTTCCATTTGATGAATTAATCCGTTTATATTCCGTTTCAGATTGATATGCGAAATCTGTTGTGTTACAGGTGAAAATATGAAAAGCAGAATTCTTACCTGTAACAGCCAAAATACGAATGATTGACGTATGTTAAAAAGAGTAAGATGAACTAACACGAACTTACAACTTGCATCACCTTCGTAGTCTTCAGAGATCATTATATACAAAGCCGAAGAACAGTAATTATAAAAAGTGTCACAAATATTTGTCAAAATGAAAATCAGTACATCTGTCAGTTTGACAACACTCTACCGCTAAATAGATGGTGAAGCTATGGGCAGTCCAATTAGCCCTGTTTTAGCAGATATATTCATGTCTAACCTTGAAAAAACAAAACTGAAGCGTGCAATCGACGAAACAACTTCTTATTGTCGATATGTCGATGACACATTTGTAGTGTGCAACAATGAAAGTCATGCTTCCTACCTACTCAGATTATTCAATGATGCACATACCAATATTGAACATGAAAATGATGGAAGGTACCATTTCCTCAACATCGCCATGCAACGCCTAGAAGATGGTAGTCTCCAGAAGTAAGTTTACCGAAAGCTTACATGGAAAGGTCAATGACCTATATTTTAGTAGTTTTTGTCTAAATGGCTTTAAGCGAACATTAGTCAAGACTCTATACTATAGAGCTAGGCGAATTCGCTCTACAGAGAAATTAGAGGAAGGATTTATGTTTCTCGAAAAGATGTTGAAAAGCAACGGTTACCCCCAAAGGTTTATTAACAAGCAAGGAAAATTTGAAAGCTCAAATGTCGAGCAAATCACAGTTGGAAGAAAGCCCATCTTTATTCAACCTGAATGAGTTAGGCTAGCTTGTGTCCCGGAGGTAAGATGAATTTTCTTTAAGATTGAATACAACTTATACCTTGATAATGGGTGCCATTAAGCGTGAAAATTAGGTCTCAGATTACCAGAACAATCCACTTGTAACAATTAATAATTATGATTTTATTGTTATTAATCATAGTAGCACCAAAACCAGTATAGAAAGTATAACGATATCTTCAGCTTTGAAAGTTCTACAATTGATTTACACAACTGGGGAGATAACCTTTCATAAATCGTAGATTGTGGCAATTTTCTCACGAAAAGTAACTTATACATCTATTCAAAGTGATGGGATTTCTGTAAGTCTCACTTTTTACAGAATAATAAAGAGGCAAAAGCGAGCCTGCTTCAGGCGCTTTGAAATGTACTATGTTCTTTTAGTGTTACAAAATGGATCACTGCTAAAACAGGGACGGCATCAATGTACTTTGAGTTTTCTCCGCCTAAAATTACTGCCAACAATTCAGCTGTCAATATATCTTTGAAAAATTTACCAGAAATAAGCAAACCTCTCACATGGAAATTCTTTTCTGAAAAGTGCATTTTAATTCCTGTGACAGCTGTGTCACTGTCACTTTACTATGATCAAATAGTTGTGGGAAGCATTTGTATTCTCACGGTAATCTTCACCCTGTCATTTCTTTATTTTATTTTTAATTTTTATTTTGATTACAGCTTGATTCCACACCGTATTTTCAGTACAAGTATGGCATTTTCAGCTTGGATATCGGTAGCCCAAATTTTGCAGGCCAACCATACATATCGGGTGTGCGTCGGCAGCGGATCGAACCCCGGACCATGTGCATGGTCGGCGAGAGTCCTAACCACTGTGCCACAGACGCACAGTCATGTAGAACAGTTTGCGATCGCTATGAAATCACTTCAGCTTCATCTTTTATTTGGGGTCGTGGTAGCATCTGAACCAGCTTCAGTCAGTAATGCAATTATCACTAAATCCACTTATTTTAGGTCACAAAAGGTAACCTCATCTTTGACAAATAACATTAAAACAAATAAATTTCGTTTCATTAAGGACCTTAAAATTTTGAAAACAAATTATTACAAAAGCTACTGAGTTAAGTAAGGCATCAACTGAATGAGAATTGAACAGACCTGAGAGCGACTCTTCACTCACGCCTAATGGAAAGGAACATAAAAAACTGGTATTTATTAAAACCCGTAAGTGCGATACAGCATTAACAATAGTAGTAACGACTGCTACAATTAGTGAAGTTATTAAAAACGAAATGTCTCCTTAACACATATGATTATGTGTGACAACATTTACTAGTCATTTTGATGTGTTGAACATTGTGATTATACGATGTTTGTCACTATTTATCCACTAATTAGCTAGCAGATTTATCTCTCCGGGCTCTTTGAAAATAAAATCATTTACGGAATTCAACCCTATAAAATAACTATAAGTCAATCTTTTGGATAAAACACTTTCATAAATGCCAGGGGGGTAGTCAAAGACTTCAACAGCCACAGTGATACATACTGATTAATCCGCGCGATCAAACATCATCAAAATACATTAAATCCAGGTGACTTATTTGTAGAGTAAATCTATTTATAAACAAACTGAAAATTCTTCAAAACCAATGGGGCTTCATAACTGTGACAGTGTTTAAATGTAGTGATGTAAACTTAATCTGTTTTCGATAATCTAACTCCATGAAAGTAGTAAGTGGATGGAAATGAAAGTTCTAAGTGACAGAAGAAACAAGAAATCGATAAAACTAATCATATGCAAATAAGAGTTCAAATATGTTTTCGTAAAATATTCGAATAGTTAACCATTTTCAAGAACAGATAATCAGTCTAAAAAAATATACTCATTAGAACATTTCATAAAATCACTGCTATTTGGGGTTGAAGACAAACAGAAAATACCACAAATTTTCAAACTACTTTAGAAATAATCAGTAGGATGAACTGTAAACATGAAAGAAATGCAACTGTCGAATGATTAATACCAACATTGTACATCATCTGATCTAAAGCTGATAAACTGTAATCACTATACAGTATACCAACAAACTGGAAATCAAACCCATCACACAAAGACTGCTAATTTATTGCATTTAACGCAAACACTGGAAAATTTTTTTTCATTCAGTTAGATAGTAGTCAAGAGAAGAATTAAAATGCCATGAGAAAATGCGCTCTCAAGTTAATCTGATGGATTTTAATGCAGTTTTTTCACTACTGGGATTGGTTCTGGTCTTGGATCGCGGAATTTCACGGATCTCTGCTTCTTCATTGACCTCTCAGGACTGAGACTTGTTTCCAGCACATAAAAGTATTTCATTCGTGAACAACAGAGACAGTCACTAAGTACTTTAGTGAACTATCTTGCTCAAACATTGCTACATGGACTTTAATGTTGTAGATAACAGTGAAATGTTTGTAAAATAAAAAAAACATCAACTGATTACGTGCGTGTTAATACATATTGGATTAATCAGACGGTTTAACTGGATGCATTTTTGGCTTGCTTACTGTTTTCCAGGACGTCAGTATATGAACCTAAAAGTTAAAATAGTGGTTTATGTAAATCGTATATGTGATGCATTCACTTTTACCAGTATTAACAGTAGAGACAATAAACGGTTGCACGATAACCAGACAAGTTACCCTATTTAAAAATAAAGTTTAAAATACAGCTAATGTCAAAATATTTTAGAATTTAAATCGATACCAGCTAGAAAGTAGCCTATTCTGTCTGTTGTGAGACTGATCAGTGATACGTATCCAGTGCCCCGTCACATGTTTTCGACCAGCAGGCAGAAGACTGGTGACTCATAGTTTCAAGCTCTTCCTTCTAACAATATAGTGCCATTGCCGTTCACCTCTCATTTATTTAAAATTTGCTAGAGATTTAACAACAACTTAGGGATAAGGGCTTGACTGCAAAAAGATACTTCAAATGCGTAGTTAAACAAGCAGCAAGGCAATAGTGCTATTCAGTGTATGACTGACTGACTGATTTCAAAGTAGAACTTTGCACAGATGTGCAGCAGTTCGAGTTGCCACGCTCCCACCATGTAGCACACAAAGCAATGGAAGAGAGTAGAGACGGATTCAAAAGAGAGATAATAAACAGAAATATAAGGTAAAAAATAGTAATATGGAACAACAATAGAGTCTTATTGGATATGACATATCACAAAGAGTGAATGCATCTGCGCCATCATCGAGAACGATTCTGAGCCATACCACCTATTGTATTCAGCCATTTGTTCTCATTATCCAGAGGACTCCCACCAGCAAGTCTACACCTCCCTACCTGGCCTAAACTAACTGTGGTCGATTTCATTGACTGATTAGGCCATGTTTTGGTTTGACCACCACTACCGACTCTTTCCCAACCTGACCCTATGTGAGCTAACACTGCCCGTCGGTCGAGGAAGGCGGTCGATGCCTAGGAATGCGTAACACATGTCCTAACCGTCTCAATCGATGTAACTTCAGAGCCTCCTCTATTGATTTCCTCTCTTTACCTAGCACTCGACGCCTAACCTCAATACTGCTGACCCCATTATGCCATTTCACACGGTAGACAGAACTCAGACAGCTGTGATCAAAGACAGCTAGCTAGCATTTTCGTATCTTCCACTTCCAATGGATATGTTCACAGCTAGCCATAAAGGAGGGCAGAGTGAACTACTCAGCAGTAAACACGTCCTGTGGTCGACAGTCGTATATCACGTCTACTAAGCCAGAGATGGCATAAGTTGGCGTATGTTAAACGAGCCTTCTGTATCCGTGTTGAGATTTCGTCAGTGTCAACCCGTTGGGGCTGATGCAACTTCCCAAGCAAGTGAAGTGGTCAATACGCTCTACCACTTCCCTCCTGTCTGTTTTTAAGCTAGGTGTGTGTTTACGTAGTTCACTCCTTTAGCATCATCTTACATTTGACGGGAGCGAATCGCATGCCAATTATTTAAAGACTGCTGGTCCTCAATGTGTTCAGAAGACTCTGCATCTTGTAAGTGACTTCACGTAGAAGGATTACATCATCTGTATATTCCAAGTCAACAAGATTATTCCCTGGTTACAAGTCAATCCTTGATTCGCTGAAGTTGTCAGTTAGGGTTAAGTCCATTGGTACATCTATGATGAAGTTGAATACAAATGGGGATAGTGGGCATCCCTAACGGACACCACTTCAGATGACAACTCTCCGGAAGCCCTCACCTGACTGGCTGCATGAGTTCGAGTAGAGTGCCCTGATCAGTGCAATGTATTTCCTCGGCATTCCCTTTACAGCCAAACATCGTCAGAGTACCTCTTGGTCAACGAAAACAAACGATGCTTTCACGTCAAGGAGTATGATGATTGCTAGATGCCGTTAAGTATGTCTATGTTCCGTTCCAGAATCTGCCGAAGGGTGAAGATATGATCGGTACACCTTCCTCCTGGTCTGGAGCCTCCCTGGTTCTCTCGTGTTTGTTCCTCCTGAACTCAGCTTAGTATATGCATGATTATTCAGCCTAGAACTTTAGATACCATATTAGTCAAGCTAATCTCTCTGTGATTATCACAGGAATACGTGTCTCCCTTCTTGTATATCAGGATAATCAATGACTTACACCAACCCGACAGGACTACCTCTCATTCTCACACGCTGCCTAATACCTCTGTTGGTGCAGACAGTAAACTGTCTCTACCGTCCGTAAATTCAGTGCATACAACAGTTCATCGAAAAGAAATGCTTGGTTTGAAACTCCATTTCTGTTTAAATTTAGATGGATGACTGTTTTGGAATCTTTAACTTAGTTTTTCCATAATACGGTTTGACAACATTCAACATCAAAAGTTTCGTGTTCATTTCATTATGAAGATATTATATATATAATATGAAAATATTAAACTGACAAACTTAAAAAATTTCATACAAGAATCAAAATGCCTATCAGTGTACCAGTTTTAATAGTATGCCAAACATTGAAATCTCCTATAGAATTATTCTTGATTGCATTTAGAACGCAAGAGAATCCCCGTCTACTCTTCACAGACCTTAGATTCACTTGTTAGTGTTCAAGTCAAATGTGTTGATCTACTATGGGTTAGATACACATAGTCCTCCGTTGTGTAGCAAATAATGTTCGACTTAATAACATTTCTTCCCTAGCTCTAATGCCACCTGAGTGTTTATTCAGGCTGAAGCTAACCACTACATAGTACGCTTCTCACCTTATATATATATATAAACTTTAAGGGAAATGTCCATTAACTACCTACATTTTCGACTGGATTTAGTAAGATGAAACTGAGGTATGTCACACCTAAGTATCAACGTTCTAACACAACTAAGTGGTGTACTTCTTTTATTTCGTTAAATTTCCTGGTCTAATGCTGACTTCAATTATTCTATCCCTTAAAACATCACAATATAAATGAAGGAGAATTTTGTTAAGTACGATCACTGTAAAGAAATATATTGAAGTTGACAAAAATCTTTGGGTAATTGTGATACCCTCCTGTAAAAGCACTATAAACATCCTTAAATGTTTTTTTTAGAGAGATTTATCTTTTTACTCAACAAGACTAAATATCTGGATTTTGATTCTAGTAATAACATACCATTTATGAGGGTGGAAGTTAAAATAATAAATTGGATAAAAATATCCGGTGAAGTGTTGGTGGAGGAGACTCTTACCTTAATTACCGATAAATGCTGAATTAAAGCAGTTGTTATCTTCGGTTTTATCTGATTACTTACACAAGTTGTTCTCAATAATTTTAGATGAAGTGCGAACCAGTGAAAGTTCCTAATTTACCATGTTAGTTGAAAAGTTTAGATAAAGTATGTGAAATAAGGATGTCGGACTGCATTCTGCTTAAAATCGCGAACAACCAGCCTGACCAGGGACTTATTCAAGAATAGGGTATAAACGTCATAAATAATTCTTCTTCTATTATTATTTCTAAATGAGTGTTTATTTCCTCAAAGCATTGAAAAGTGTGCATCAAGTAATAGAAATAATGTTCCACTTTTTGTTCTAAGTTAATCCAACGATTAAAGATGACAAAAATCCGAATTAGTGGATAATGAAAGCAAACAAAAGCGGTCATCTCAGCTACTAAGCACTAGACGAATAGTTTAGTAAAGATATCAGGCAGGAATAGGTCTGACGGTAAAAAGAGATATAATAGCCATTTGTCTCTTTCAAAGTTACACCTTAATTTGATAGGTAGGCATGCTACAATTCGGCGAAATTGCTCAAAATGGTTTGCAGCGACGAAGAGAAATAAGCTCTCTTAAAACTATAGGACAACAATGTTCATATTCAGAACACCTAAACTGTTTTCTGACAATCATCTAAAAGCTATTTGGCTATGTTTACCAATCTACAACTAATAAAAGGGAGAGGTAATTTCCTTCAGTGCGTGCTTCTACAAAAGCCTCTTCTACTTGATGTTAAAAATTTCCACTATTATCACTACCCAACAAGGCTTACACACATGAACGTATTCAGAACTTAATTTAGAATGATTGAAACATACGTAATATTTGTATTAAACTAGGAAAACCAGGGTAAGATTGAACTCAAAATGCAGTTACAACTATCCAGTATTAGGCACTGACAAACAAGATCTCTATCGACAAATGCAAATAGAAATGGATGACATTCTAAGTAACAGTGACATCAAACTACTAATGGGCGATGTGAATGTTAAACTGGGAGCAGTTAATAAAGGAACAGAATCCCCCATGCGTTGGCAGGCTCTCGGCTAAATGGATGCAAACTGACAACTCTTCGCAGACTTTTGCGCATTCAGTGATTTGGTGAATGGAGGCATCGTGTGAAAAAAGCACAAGGATGTACAAAAGGCCTAGTGCATTGAGCTATATGACAAGGGATTTAAAAGCAAAACTAAGCGAAGTCTGTGAAGTGAATACAGGAATAAGACAAGGCTGCCTGCTATCATTGATGATATTCCTGATGTTGGTGAACCAGATCATGCAGCGGACTATGCGTAGCAAGAAGACAGGAATACGTTGGAATGAGAACAGCACTCTAGAAGATTTGCCCTTCGAAAGCGATTTATGTCCAAAGTCTGACAAACTCTCAGATCTAGAGGTGAGAACCGACAATAAGTGAGAAGTATCAGCAAACGCAGGACTTCCAGTGGGCATCGAGAGGTGATGACAATAACTAATCATCAAAAGGAAGCACCAATCACTCTCAATCTACTTTTCTAGGCTCCATCCTTTCAACTATAGACGTCACTGATCAGATTGTCAAACGGAGCAAGTAATGTCCTGAGTTGGCATACAGGCCGTCTTTATTGTGAATTCAGTGTGAAAATGTCCTACATTCAGCATGAAAGGCAAGATTCGGATTTGCAACAGCAATGTAACATCAGTTTTTCTACATGAACAAGGACTTGGTACGTCACCTAAAGCATCTGCAGCGGACTTAGGATTCTTATCAATAGCTGCCTTCATTCCATACTGATGATGATGAGATGACCAGTTTGGATAAGAAAAGTGGAACTCTTGCAGCAAACCAATGAAGAACAACCAACAAATAGCCAGGAAGGAACGGAGTTGGTTAGGTGACACTCTGAGGAGACGACTGAGTGATAATTTATGCCAAGTTCTTGAGTGGAACGCAAATGGGCCACGGTGAGTTTGGCGTGGTTCTGAGTGTGCCATGAGGTAGATCGTGTCAACAGTTGGTGAAAAATTCTAGGCTATCGTGAATCAAGCTTTAGTGAACTTCAGATAACTGCATGTAATGGAGTTGTGACACTGGGGCTCTATTTCCGAAGCCGGAACCCAAGAAAATAAAAATCCGTGCATATTGTAAGGAATTAGCAACTTTTTATGCAATTCAATAGTTTAGGCAAAAAGATGGTGTTTCTCCGAGATAAAAATATTAATATTCGGTTCTTTTCTTTTCATATTTATGTAACAGAATAAAATAGAATGTATGTATGACGTTAACACTACCTTAGGAAGGAACACATTTCAAAGCAACTTTAGATTTAAATAAAAGTTACGGATACCGTTCTCCCTACATAGTTTACCTTTAAAATAAGGCGGAAAAATACAGGATTACTTTATTTTCGCTTCATCTTTCAGTTTGCCAATTTTTTCTGACATGTTATCCTGCGTATTTCCGTCAATACCCCATGCACTGATGGTAACTAGTCAGTGAGTACAAATATTTATCTAAGCACATGATGTCAGGAGAAAACCTTCCTTCGTAAAGAAAGTGATTTTCGCTTCAGAAGGTAGGTATATTATCGCTACACCACCAACTATTTTGCAATTCTTATACTTCGTCAACTCTAAATTTTCCCCATATTCCAGTCTTAGTTATTCTCCGGAGACGAAATGCAATATCATGTACAGCAGTGCTACTTCTAGTGAATTTTACTACTGATATTGAAGGTGTTTTATGTATCTAGGTGGGATTATCATCTACCTGAAACACGTCTCCCGCATTAACAGTTTATCGAAGTAATATTGTAACAACAGAAGACAAGGGCCAAGCAACAGATCGTTTATCAAGGAAAATCAACACATATTTAGAGATTTTAATGTACATTATTGTTAGTAGAAAGTACAGTCTTTTGATTGGTTGTTTCTCACAGAACGTTAACCTTGCATCTCTTTGTGGCTGTGTCAGATCATCCATATGCTAAATGTATCCGCCTACGCAAAGCCTTTGTTCTCATTTTCTCACCACCAATATTGGGGACATAACCATTGACGTCAATTACAGTCTACCGACTTTGGCTAGCAGCCAGCTCTCACCACAATATTATCAAAGCATTGAGAAAAACTAACCTAACATTTCTATATAATAGAACTAATCGTGTAGACAACCATATTCTCTCAGAATTAATATAAACTTAGAGAAAAAAATTAGCCAATTCTATTTTCCATCAAGTTAACAGTCATAATATACTTATGCCCATTGCAGTTAATGAAATGTTCATTCATCAATATAGGACTTACCAGAGTAAAAATAGAATACTGAAATACAAATGTAAATGGTTTTCATTCTGTTGTCGTGCAGTTTTTACCTTGCATCAAAGAAATGAAACCAAAAGTAGCTTTTATAATGTACTTTGGTCAAGGTGCTTCTTTGTTAAACATCTAAATGACCTTAAGCAAATTTACTCTTCATTGACTTAATCTACAATTGATAAACATTCCGCAAATTAGTGTGTATCGGTAAACAGTAGTAAATCAATATCAATCTGATGATATGGCATCTGAAGATATATATGTATATATGTATATATATATATATATTAGACAGGACAGAAAAAATTCAACCATCAATTAGTAAATGTTGCATAACGGACACAAGAAAGTGAACACCTTTTATTTTTTTTATTTTGATTTACAGCTTGATTCCACACCGTATTTTCAGTACAAGTATGGAATTTTCAGCATGGATATCGGTTGCCCAAATTCAGGCATACCATAGATATCGGGTCTGCGCCGGCAGGGAATCGAACCCCGGACCATGTGGATGGTCGGCGAGAGTCCTAACCACTGTGCCACCGACGCACCTTTATTTTGCTTGCAAGTTATAAACGTTGATGTCTATGTATCCACCGATGACTGACTGTATAAGGTATTATAACTCAAAGATTGTGTATCTTTATTCTTCAGTGAATAAATTATCAAATACTTCTGGTAAGACTCTTAGAATACTGAATAAATGATTTGTGTCTAAATTTTTGAATATGCTGAAGGTTATCTGATTACAGATAAAAAAATAAGTTAAACCATATACTTATCACACAAGAAGAGAAACGATGGCACTTTAAAGTGCATGCGATTAGATCTATAAATAAATAAATAAATAAATAAAAATAATTATATATATATAATTACTTTCATTCTCTTTGCATAAATTTGCTTCTTATAGGCTCAACACAGACTTAACTGTATACTCTTGAATTAACTGTGTTCTCTGAGCCAGTTGATTTAATTGCGAAGCTTTCATCGTCCTTCTAGACATCTCCAGCGCAGGTTTTAGTATAAAAAGAACCCTAATTACACTTTCAGCACTCTGATTTCTTGTGAAACTACTTTTATCATCCTCACTTCTAGGCCCACCAATTACAAACAACTTACATCACGAAACATGGATTCACACAATTGCTACATGATAGATTTGTTTGATATCTCTATAGCTTATTTAGTTAGTATGTGTGTATTTTTTTATTCCTTTACGTTCCCGGTGAAAAATAGGGCTTTAAGCTGGAGTTTTCGGTAGTAGTGGTATTTATTTTCACTGGATGACGTTGGTAGCCTCATATCCAACCTTCCTTCTTTACCATTCTTAATACTGGCTTAGCAAGGTAAAGGAGTGCGTTGGCCAGAGATAGAACTGCGGCCCCCATGCGTCGTCGGCGAACATTCTACCACTGTGCCACCGGCTCATGTACTTAATTAATTATCAAAATTAGCTACTTAGCATTTCGTTTCTAAGTTTTACTGGATTCGATTTTATCCATTATACCACTTTTGTGATGTATCTTTAACTGTCACTTTCACTGGCTGTTACTTTAAATTATCACTGGATTTGTGTCTGAACTTGATGAAGAAGTTATATAAAGCAACTGTGGAATATTTATTATTCTGAATAGCTAAACTTAAAATCTACTACTACATGACAAATCTCATAACATAAGTGACCATTGATTGCTAACAACATGATTTTTAAATATTCAGCGTTCCAAGGCCAGAAAGAAGGAGATATCAAATTTTCTTCCACCTGAATTCCAATGGTGGGAAAATTTACCTTCAAAAACACAAAATTTACTTACTATAAAATTTCACGGCGATAAGGAACCTGATTCAATAAAGAACTATGTTGTCATAAATACGGTGTATGGAGTGAATGAAAATAATAATATAAGAGGTGAAGTATAATCAGCTATACAGAAAACGGTGGAAAAATAACTTATATTTAGGTAAATTATAAAAAACAGCGAAATGAAAGAGTAAAGCTACAAAATGCCATCAAGACATCCAGACAAGGCATTCACAAGGTAAGTTTCAGCAAATCGATTACTATTGTTTATTAAACGAGATATTCTAATATTGCTTTATCTATCAGTCGACTAAAGAATTGTGCGGAGATTCATTGAACCTGGGTTGCTTCTGTCAATGATTTTGCCAGACAGTTCTCCAAATTAGCGAAACAGATGTATTTTTTCTACAACATAGTCCGGAATGGACATACAGTGCACTAATTTCTGATGGAGAGTGCTTAGAATCACTCAAAAAACTCATTTTACATTAATCATTTGCATAGTTTACGAAAAGTATTTAAGCGGCTAACTGATGTCGAAAAGGTCGTCACTACTTGTCAACTTGAAAATGAAATAAAGCAATCCAGAATCCGGCGCGGAAATACCATATAACTTCCCCGAAACCCGGAAATTGTAATGTCTAAGTTTTATTAAAGGATCCCTAATTCACTCCATGGCCCAAACATAAAGTGGCGCCAAACCCTGAGAAGTGAATTTGTAACCAGTAGATTTTTAGTGGAAAAATTAACCAGTCATATCTCTCTTATTCAGGGTAGCATTCGCTTCATTGTAAATTTCGAAATGTTTACAAGTATGAATCTGATGCAACCTTTGCAAATATACCGTTAAGTAGAAGCTGACAAGTGCACTTCTAGAGTCGATTTGTTTTTCGAGTTAGACAACAGATTGTTATCAGTTAGAGAACCATTCAAAACCAGGAAGTACTGCACAGTTGCTTCATCCTAGTTTGGTACTCATCGGCAGTGCGCACCCCCGGGTTTCAAACCTGGGACCTTCCAATTACAAAGCAAACTCGTGCACCATTCTTCTACTTTGAAAAACTACATTTATGGTTTATAAGAATAAAACTTGGGCACTGTGGTAGAGTGTAATTCCATTATGGGTAAATTTTTATTTTGATAGAGTCTCACAGTGTTATACAGTAATATTTACTGATGACGTTTCGAGCACAAACTATTGCTCATAATCATATCAAGTTGATATCATGATATCATATGATATGATATGTCATATCATATCATATCAACTTGATATGATTATGAGCAATAGTTTGTGCTCGAAACGTCATCAGTAAATATTACTGTATAACACTGTGAGACTCTATCGAAATAAAAATTTACCCATAATGGAATTACATTTATGGTTTTTGTAACTGTCGTCTTTAAATGCAGATATAAATTACACTTCAAACTGGCTAAAGCTAATATCCTCTTCATTGTCATGGCTTTGATCACTGACGGGCAATTAAAAGGCATCACCAGGATTTGTTCATTTCAACTCACGTGGACAATTAAGAACATCAACTCAACTGGCATGTTGTAAAACAGTAAACAGGGGAAAGTATACGGGAAATAAAAACGTAGAAACTAATAAAAGACGGTCGCACCAAATGAAACACGAGGAGTGCACAGAAGGACTGATAGGTATTTTTATAGTTTTTTGTATTGATAACCGCTCACTGATGAACTTCAGTACCGCTGCAGCTTTACGATATTCAGCTTATACTTTTGGTTGTATAGTCTACATCCGATTATCAAAAACTTTATCACCTGATGATAAAATCTTCATAATAAGTTGTCAGGTAGTTTGCATTCCACTATTTATTCGAACAGAACTTAAAGACAATTACTGTTTCTTCATATGTATTAAATAATACCAAGTGCGTCATCTAAATAGCACTTTGGTCACTCAGTTCAATATTCTGTTAATCAGGTATCAGTGAGATAGTTAGTATAGGGATACAAAACACCATGAAAGTGATGCTTCTTCAATGTCTAATCTCTCATTTTTAATTCTTAATGCGAAGTAATAGTATAAGTGATAAATAAATGTACTGTAGTTTTGTAATTTAATGTGATTTAAAGACTGCTGCGACTGAACTTCATTTAGATTACATCGGTTAGGTTTATTAAAACTATTACCATAAAATATGAGGCTTGTATCTTTGCCATTTTATATCAAACAAAAATTAATCATTAAAATAAGTTGTTTTATCATTTGATAAAACTTTCACACACACACACACACCTTACAATGCACCAAGTTAAGAAGAAACTAAAGAAATGAAATAGTTTTGTGTTCACTTCTGTGCTTTATTCTATTTCGAAAACAATGGTAATTAGACGCAGTACCGGGTTGAAATTTGTTACCAGTTACAAACTTACATCACGCAGTGATCCGTTTTCTAGTCGACCTAATGCACTTATAAGTAGAATTCTATTGATTGGTTGGTTATTTTAAGTACCACTACTGAAAATATCTCTTCAGACATTGTAGAGATGTAGAAATTATTTTCGCCGTGACTTTTTTGTTTGAGTAGCTAACGGAATTGACTGAAAAAAACTGAATTCTTTCTGTTATAAGTTATTTATTTTTGTGAACGTGTCCTGTATGCATATAGCTTGTTTATCACATATCTTCAGACATTAACTAGCTGTATATTCAAGTATTATTGCCAGATTATTGATATGTCAGCCTCTCTTATGTTTTGTTGACTTCATTGTTGTTTTGTGTGTTAGCAAGTTTTACAAGTTAATTGTGATGCATTCACTTCTCACATTCCTTTATTTAGGGTTGATTTTATAGACACTAACAGATCTCAGCAACAAATAGTGGTCATAAGGTAACCTCCACTCTATTTACAGTATTTTCCAGAACAATGTTTCTTAACATTTTCCTCATTGAGACCAAGTAAGTACACACAACTGTGTTGGTACAAATGGAGATGACTAAATCACAATGTTTAACATATGGTAACTAATTGACAAACTTATTCTATGCTTACTGATTTTCGAGAAGCCATAAGTGAAAGATTTTATAATAGACAACATTGAGCTTCACATATGGAATATGCTCACGCTATGCAAATTGAAATGGTGCTTAGTACTTTTTCTCTAGATATTTGGCACTCTTTTCTCCATCAATTCAAAGTTATGCAATTGTGTTATCGAAAGAAATTTGCGATATATTTGGAACGAATTTCTCCAGACTTTTTAGGTAATGTAATGCACTATTAGATGGTTGGAGGCAACCGGCAGGGAGCCTTGGACCTAGGTTTCGTGCCAGTTGGCACTCGTCAGCAAGGTGTATCTGCAACCTTGAAGGAACAGTTTGTATAGCATCACGAGTCAGAGAAATAC